TCGAAGTAGTTTTGGCAGTTCTCGAATGGTCCAGAGTAGACAGCTCTGCCCTTCGCAAGCAGTATCAGTTGGTCGAAGAGAGCGACGATGTTCGAGCGTGGCTGGTGAATAGTGAAGACGACAGTTCGGTTGTAGTTCTTGACCAGGTTGACAAGGCACTCGACGACGTTGAAAGCATTGTAGGCGTCCAGGCCACTTGTGGGCTCGTCCAAGAAGAGGATGCTGGGCGAGGTAACAAGTTCGCAGGCAATACCGACACGACGCTTCTCACCACCGGAGATTCCACGACCGCTTTCCTCAGAGCCAATCTTCTGGTTGCGAATGTGGTAGATACCGAGTTGACGTTCAACGTCTTCTACCTTTTGCTCCTTGGAAATGCGACTCATCTCCTTGGGCAGGCGCAACAATGCAGAGTCGAGAATCGTCTCGTGAACAGTCAAGGTAGGCAAAAGGGTGTCTTCCTGGTCGACGAAACCAATCACGCTTCTGAACTCGTCATCGCGGACCTTCTCGCCATTGATATAGAAATCGCCACTGTCGGTTCCAATCTTCTTCTTGCGGGCAAGGATATCGAGAAATGTAGTCTTTCCAGCACCCGAGGCACCCATGATGGCCAAGAGCTCTCCAGGGTGGACAGCACCAGAGATGCCAGACAGAATCTGCTTTCCTTTCAGGTTGTAGGCGACGTTCTCGAAGAGGAAGGAAGCTGGCTTGTGATCGGCGAGCAATTTCGCGTCCTCGTCTTCCTCATCGTCCGACAGGTGGATGGGACCGTATCGATGGCTCTCAGCGCGGTGGGTAATGTACCAGATGGCCAAGATAGCCGCCACGATGAATAGTGCGATTCCTGCAATGACGCCAGCGATCAACGGCGTGTTGATCTTCTTGATGGGTCTCTCGTAGCCTGGCACTTCCGTCTGGTATAGACACTCGCCCGTGTCGCATTGTAGGAAGATGCTTTCGTCGCCGAAGATGCTCGAGATGAGGTCGTTCATGGCAGGTTCCGAGAAGATGCTTCCGCTGTCTTTGCTGTTGATAGCTGAGATGCCTCTGAATTCAGCAGGACCCTTGATGGACTCCTTCAAGAAGTCACCAATGTCAACGGAGCCATCTTCTCCACAGAGCATCCTGTCTGGGACACACTCGCACTTGATGTTCTCGCATCGGTATTTCGTGATGTTGCGGTCGGATTCGGCGGTGAAGTGGGAGGAGCACGTGTCGAGGGCGCAGTAAAAGGATTCCCTTTGGTCAACCCAGACTGCGATGGTTAGCTGGTAATGAAGGGTGGAGGGTATGGAGCTTACATTGGAAGTTGCATTCCTCCGACTCGGCATTGCAAGAGAAGGTCGCCTGCGGTTTCTTATCTTTCAACGTGTCGAGGATCTTTCTGTTGGTGATGTCGCAGATCTGGAAGTTCTCCTTGACCAGCTGGCCGTCCTTGTAGCAGACGCCGCCCTCTCCATCCGGCATCATGGCGTTGCAGGCGTCGTTGGTCTGGCAGACGTTGCAGTTGATGCCAGACCAGCCCTCTGAGCATTCGCACTCCTTTGCGCCTCCGCGTGGTGAGCGGTTCTTGCCATCGGGCAGGGCGCCGCAGAGGGGCTCTGAGCAGTCCTCGCCTCCAAATCCAGGCCCACAGTTACATCTCCCGTTTGCTTTGCTGCAGTCGGCAAACTGCTTGCACTTGAAGTCTTCCAGGTTGCAGTTGAAGCATGGCGGACAGCCATCGGGTCGGTCGCCGTAGATGGAGAAGAGATCCTGTGGCGAGTCGGCGAGGGTGTAGTTGGCGAACGTCTTGTGGGCCGTCGCCGTCGATGCCAGGCCCAGCAAGGCGGCGAGCGACGTCGCCCAGGTCCGTTGGCGCATCGCGTCTTGTTTGCGGCGCGGGACGAGCTATGCGATAGCTATCTAGGTTGTCGTGTGCCTGCTTCTTTCGGAGGTAACGTGATGAGACGGAAGGTGACTGTCAAAGTCAAAGGAACGGCAAGAGCTGGGCAGCTCGCGATGGGGACGAGGGACAACAGGTAGCAACGGGTGGCCAGATGATGGCAGTGCTGCTATCATCGGCCTGCGGCGACGCTGATTCGTGGAGGCTGGGCTGTCTCCAGCCAAGCACCATGGCGGACCGCTAGACCGAGGCACACGCCAACAGGTGATGCAGGCAACATGGTCTTCGTCATCATCGATATCTCGCACAGCATGCAGAAGAGCATTCATGGATATACATCACGCGACTAGCAGCCTCGTCTCTAGCAACGCGACGATCAACGTGATCGCGCGACATCAGCGGCGACGCGCTCTTGCCAGCCCAACCTAGCCGTCGGCGCGCTCTAGCAACTAGCTCGCCCGCTTCAGCGGAACCTCGAGAGGCCATCATGTGCGCCCTATGTCAATCCCCAGAGCTACCTTGAGACATAAAAACTATATCAACTAAATTTTCTTTGTACTCTTCTGTCAGTCACGAACCACCCTCTGCATTGCAAGCCAAAATGGTCAAAATTGAAGAATTCGCCGTCGAGTCCGTAAGTCCATCCCCGCATCTCGCACTCCACGTGGGGAAATGACTAACATGCCCAGTGGATGGATGCGTACGAGACGAAATGCAAGTACAACATCGCCGAGACGTGTTGCGCCTCAATTTCCGTCGATCAGCTACGCGAGCTGTCAGAGAACAAACATCAGCCCGTTTTCGACACCTCGCGTGTCCTGAACTACGGGGCCATCCGAGGAAGTGACGACCTGCGCAACAACTTGGCTAGACTATATTCTGCCAAGGTCACAAACCCCCTCTCTCCAGACAACATCCTCATCACTCCTGGTGCCATCCAAGCAAACTACCTGACTGCATATGCCCTCGTTGGACCAGGAGATCATGTCATCTGCCACTACCCCACCTACCAGTCCCTCTACGAAGTGCCCAAGCAACTGGGCGCCGAAGTCGACCTATGGAAAGCAACGCCAGAGAACAAATGGGTACCAACTATCGACGACTTGAAGTCGCTCATCAAGCCCAACACCAAGCTCATCATCATCAACAATCCCAACAACCCCACTGGAGCCATCCTAGGCAAGACCTTTCTCCAAGAACTCATCGACATCGCGACCGAAAAGGACATCACCATCATGAGTGACGAAGTCTACCGCCCTCTATTCCACTCCATCATCCCAATAGACAAAGAATTCCCACCTTCCCTCCTGTCCATGGGCTACAAGAACGTCATCGTCACAGGTTCCATGTCAAAAGCCTACTCCCTCGCCGGCATCCGCATCGGCTGGATAGCATCTCGCAGCTCTGAAATCATCGAGAAGATCGCTTCAGCACGGCACTACACCACAATCTCCGTGTCCTACTTCGACGAAGCCATCGCCGCCTACGCTCTTCACTCATCAACAGTGCACAGTTTACTAGCTCGTAACATCCAACTCGCGAGAACCAACCTGGCTCTTCTGGAGAAGTTCCAACTCAAGAACGAGGATGAGTGCGAGTGGGTGAAGCCCGTTGCGGGTACTACGGCTTTCGTCAAGTTTCACCGAGAAGGCAAGGCAGTGGATTCTGTGGACTTTTGCAAAAAGTTGCTAGAGGCTACTGGCGTCATGTTTGTGCCTGGTAGTACTTGTTTCGGCGAGGAGTTCAAGGGGTACGTCAGAATTGGGTTTGTTAATCAGACGGACGTTATTAAGGAGGGGTTGGATGCCGTGACGAAGTTTATACGAAAGAATCTTGATGAGGTGGAGTTGGCAGAGTAAAGTAGTGTATGGTCAGTAGGAAATATTTACATCAAATGCATACAGTTTGCAGACCACTGTTCGGTCCGAATCAGCCACAACGCCACACTAACCGCAACATTGGGGGCGGCTAGTGGACTCAGCCCTGTGGACGCCTTACGCCCGTCTCACAGACAGTGAGATTCCACAGCCACAACCAGTGATCAACAACTTATACCCTACCGATATTAAGTAGATAGATAGTAAGCGCCGTGCGACAATAAAACCTGTTCTCCCCTCATCCAAACATATACCCTCCCCACTGTCCCCATCACTCCATCTCCGCACTTCTTCCCCTCAAACTACATACATATCATTTCCACAATGACAGACCCATCCAAACTTCAAGTCCCAGGCCCGTTCACCGAGAAGGAGAGCAACAATTCCACAGCCCCTCTCGTAAACGTAACAAGCGCATCCACATCCACATCCCCCTCAAAAACCCCTCCATCAACACCAGAACGCCCTTCCTCCTCACATTCCTGGCGGTCAAAACTGCATATTCATTCCGGATCCCGCCGTTCCAAATCCGTTGAGCCAGGCAAAGAGCGCTGGCGGGATGCGACGCTGCCTGAGAAGGAGCGATGGAAGGATTGGCAGAAGGCTAAGGATAAGGAGCAGATGGCCGGGTAAGTGGTTGTGACAGGAGATCTTCAGGGGGGTGTGCTAATATGAAGGATGATAGGTCGACGATAGGTGCATACACGCAGTTTTACAAGGGGAAGGGGAGTACGGGGTATTGGCTGGATGTGGGCTTCTAAGATAAGAGAACACTTGCTCTGGAAACGATCATGATTTATTCTCCACACTTCGCTATTAGATTCTTTCGTGAAACATTCATTACATTTCCACAGGTAAACTAAAGCCATTGTTTGGGCCCGAGCCTTCCCTTCCATAGAACTTCGAGGCTAGCGAGGGGTGTATCGTAACAGTAGACCGATGCATCGACGCCGAATGAGATTGCGACCATATTCGAAGTAGATGTAGAAGACTTAAGCAGAACGGTACTTGGACTTGATTGCCGTTGTATGTGGCCGTGAAGTCGTACAGGGCGTGGGGCCTGTCATAACATCTTTATAGGCGACTCTTGGAATGACGCGCCATAGCCGTCAGTTTGTCTTGCATTCGAGCGAGATGAGACAATCTCTCTAACTTGTTGTAGGAAACACGCTCGGGAGGTCTTGCGTGAGATTGCTTGATCTGGGTATGCGACATTGTGAGGTAACATTCCAGTGTCAGCGCCGAGACGCCCTGGACCCTGGGACGTAGTTGGTCCATTCGCGTTCCGGTTGAAGGAGAACCCAAGTATAAGTGCCGGCTTGTTGGCGCATAACGATGTATCGATGGGGAGATGGATGTTGTTGTTTTAGGGCAGCCCTGCCTGCTTTGATAAAGTCGACATCCACTGCAGTGGCGCGATTGATTCCTTCGGAGGCGCCGCCGGTATGAGTAGCAATGACTGTTCTCGGCATCTCGTCGAGAAATACGGGACCTCCAGAGTTACCTGTGCCTTATAATTAGCATGCAACAAAAGTCCATGTGCCCTTCCACGTTGGTACTTACCTTCCGCAGTCGATAGCTTATAATGCAATAGCTTTTGGACCTTGAGCTCAGCCTCACCCTTCACTACGTACATACAACCAGCCCACAGGCACTCTGAACATGCATTGCGGACTTGCGATGTGTTGTTGCCAGGATAACCGACGACGAGGACCTTTGTCATTCCTGATGATGGCGCTCTATACATGGCTGGCTTGACCTGCGTAAATATACTATCGACCTTGATAAGAGCTCTGTCGTAGGACGCATTGTATTCAGAGACAACGAATTTTGCAGGTACTACGACCATTGTGCCGAAACGTTCTTGAACCCCTTTTCCTCCAGAAGAGGAGCCAAGATGGTATCCGATATAAGCTTTGACAGCTACAGCGTGCGAAACTGAAGTTTCACGATGGTCCAGAACGTTGTGTGCCGAGGTCAGAATGGTGTCAGGTCCTACAAGGACACCAGAAGCGTGGGACTCCTGGTATGTATCATCCCTCATAATGAGTTTGACAATGCCTACATGTATCGGTCAGCAAAGATTTGACTTCGAAAGCTCTGGTTACTGACACCGGTAATCTCCATCCTCATCTTCGTATTCTTTCTCATCGACGTGGAGCCGGAAGTTCTTCTCGACCAAGCGCTCGCGCGAGGGGCGTTCCGAAGGCCATGTAGTGCTGAGCTTCCAGATGTACAGTTTCTTCGACTTTGGCATGGCGCTGTCTGTTTTTCTCGATGGACGTCCAGGGCCCATTACGGTGGTCGTTCCATGCGAGTGTAATGCTGAGCGAGACATTCGTGTGTGTGGAGAGTGAGGGCTACGATGGATGACGTCAATTAAGGATGTCCAGCTTACAGCAAGTGATCTCGGAAGGATGAATGCCTACGTAACAGTGAAGATTTACTGAAGGAGTTCGGTGGTACTGTTTGATGTGAACAGGTTGGACGATTAGTAAAGCGTTGCGCAGATATGAGATGAGGTAAGAGCACTAGGTGTGCAGCTGGGACACGAGCAGATCATATCTCGAGGAGGGCACACGTCACGCAACAGGCTAAGCGGGCAGTGCAAAGCATTTCCGCATTAAGTGTAGACCATTTTGATGCAGAGCTGGCAGTGCAAAATTTGGCGCTGTTCCATGCTGCAGATTTGTCGGCCAGCCAAGCCACGCATGAGGTGTCTGCAATGGACGGACAGCCACAAAATCAAGAGAGGCTGCTTCCAGCGTAGGCGCTGTGAGTCTGGGTATGAGGGCGATCCGAACTAGAGGTTTCTTATTCGCGGATGCGGTTACGCTGCAAGCTGGTCAGCCCGGACACCTTGGACATGGCAGCCCACTTCAGCCTTGCGGGTGAATCTAGTCCAGAATCCCGATGCGGGCGTCTGCAAGAAGATTTTGGCGAATACGCAAAGAGTAAGCTGCAGGAGAAAGAGACAGGAATAGAAGTGTACACCAAATCACTCGTGATATGAGTGGGTGGATGCCGAATTCTTCTGTGTCTTTGGCCAGACATAAACAGCTACCGACGGGACGAGGAGGTGCATATGCTGCCCGATATCAAGCCACAAGCTGCGCATTGAAGTTATGTTGATGACATTGTCCTTTGCAACTAGTGCTGGTCTGGTATCGTACAGTAGTCTACAGTTGTGTGCCGTTGTATACAAGTCGTGTACATGGTCGTAATTGATCGTGCGCAATCCCGTAATATCAACAGTTGATCTCAGCAGGAGTTGCCGCCATTTGTGGTGCTACTAGCGCCTCGGTCGTCTCAGTGAGGCTATGGTCGCGGGATAGAAATTGTCGTTCCTCGAAACAGCTTTGGAGTACCGCCTCCTATGTGCGCACGAGAACTTATTCCTCGGGGATGATTCGGTCCACAGCTGCATCTTGGTTAGATATCACTTCAGTAGTGTAATCGCATTGACATACCTTTGCCGTTCTCGAGCAAGTACCCCGAGCAGTCAATCTTCCACTCGTCACCCCTCACCTTGACTTTCGCAATACCGAACCTCAGAACGGCGAACTTGAACTTCAAGAAGAAGTTGGTCCACTTCTGATGTACCCAGCGCGCAGACCCCTCCCACACACGCGCTGCAATGTTCATGTGTCCCAAGTCATCCCAAAGCTTTTGCCGCTTAAAGCGTTCTGCCTCGAGCAGCTCAGCCACCATGGGCTCCGTCTTCTCACTTATTGTCGCTTTGCCCAAATCCGTGTATATGACGCGCTCTTTCAGCCACGGCACCGGCTTGACTACCAGGCGCAATTGCATGGGCCCGCCTTGTAAACTAGGAAGGATTTCCAGTGCGCGCATCCGGTTGCTGGGCGCGGTGCAGATGTAGCAGCCGATGATGATGAAGCCCACTCCCACCACGACGTAGGTTGGACGTACGAAGAAGGATAGTCCATTGTCTTTGATGTCGTCATTGAACTTGATCGAGAACGCTCCAACACCGATCCATAATGCTCCCGTTCCGTACACCTTCAGATAGTACCACTTGTTCTTGGGCGCTTGGTAGAGGAGGACTGGCTGGCGGGTTTGGACGACCTGGCGGAGGACGGGGTCGCTGCTCACGAATGAGCTGGGTTTTGGTGCGACTACATTGGTCTTGGGATATTGGTAGCGTCGGAGCACGGATGATGTGAAGGAACGGTTCTGCCGTATCGTCCGTATCGTGGTGGGTGTGAAGAATGATTCCCGTGTTCCGAAGAGGGCGGCGCGGAGGGATGAGGGGAGGCGGAGGGTGTGTTGGCGCAGGAAGGCGTCGAAGCCCCGGGAGAAGGCGGGCATTGTGAGTGCAGTGATGTGGGGTGTTCAATCAGCGCTATACACCAAGCATACTCCAGCAAGTCAATGCGGCAGTATGTGGGCGTGGATACCTGGATGCCGTCGCGATATGTCGGAAAAAGTCCAACTAGAAGCGGCCCAAGCGCGTCCCGCTCGACACCTCCGAAGCTTGTTCCGCCCAACATTTCCGCCAGCAGATCGGCACCGTCGCTCAACACCCTCCCACTGCCATTGTCTCCGCCTGTCAATTGATTTCCCATGGCTTCGCTCGCCGCGGTATGTAGAGTCTCGGCGCGGGCTGCCTCGCAGCAGTTGCGCAACCAAGGTGCTCGGAGAGGACTGCACTCAAGTCAGGCCTCGCTCGCTGCGCAAAGCTTCAACATGCCTGCGCTTTCACCGACCATGACCGAGGGCAACATTGCGAGCTGGAAGATCAAGGAGGGAGACTCTTTCTCCGCCGGCGACGTGCTGCTCGAGATCGAGACGGATAAGGCGCAGATGGACGTCGAGGCGCAGGATGACGGTATCCTGGCCAAGATCACTGTACGTGGGAAGATATGTTGGCTTCAGGCCATGGCTAACACGAACTCCAGGTCCAAGACGGTTCCAAAGCAGTCCAGGTCGGCACACGGATAGCCGTCACAGCAGAGCCCGGCGACGACCTGTCCACCCTCGAGATACCCGCCGAAGAGAGCCCCGCGCCCAAGAAAGAGGCCGAAGCGCCCAAGGAGTCCAAGAAAGAGCCTGCGCCGGTACCAAAGGAGGAGCGAACCTCTGCCCCGCCTGCCAAATCCGATGCCTCGAAGAAAGCCTCCAGCGGCAAGGCCTCCAAGCAAACCTACCCGCTATACCCCTCCGTACAACACTTGCTCGAAGTCAATGGTCTGCCAAAGGAGGAGGCTGATAAGATCCCCGCGACCGGTCCTGGTGGCAGACTGCTCAAGGGCGACGTGCTCGCATATGTTGGTCAGATCGAGAACTCATACCCTTCGGAGCTGGCGAGTCGCTTCACCAAGCTGTCGCACCTCGACCTCTCCAACATCAAGCCCATGCCCAAGAAGGAAGCATCAAAGAAGCCAGCAGCCAAAGCACCAGCGGTTGTCGAAGACCTTCCTATCGAGGTAGCACTACCTGTCTCCCTCACCGCAGTAATGGAATGCCAGAAGCGCGTCAAGGACTCAATAGGCGTCTTCCTACCTCTGTCAACATTCGTCGCGCGCGCCGCCGAGCTCGCCAACGAAGACCTCCCTCGATCCAAGGTCGCAAAGCCAACCGCCGACGAGCTATTCAACGCTGTTCTGGGTCTCGACAAGGTATCCTCGAAGTACTCGCGCGGCAACTTCGTCCCAGAAGTCACCGCGCTGCCACCTACCACCATCCCCAGCAAGCGCGCCCCAGCACCAAAGTCGGACATTCTCGACATGCTAGCCGGCAAGAAGACCTCCGCTAAGCCTGTTTCGGGCGCAGCAGGTGTTGCGGGTCCCCTCAATGTATTCAGTGTGAGCGTACCCAAGGGCGACGAGAAGCGTGGTCGCGTTTTCCTCGAGCGCGTCAAGACGGTGCTGGAAGCCGAGCCAGGGCGATTGGTCGTTTAGGTGAAGATCGTTGCGCGATTTGTATCATATTGCATCTCTACCTACCTGTTTGGACGGTGGAGGTACCGGCAGGTAGCCATTCCCACTACCTCATACAATAAAAGCTGAACAGGTCTAGAGCCTACATCGACGCCGGGTCACCTATCTTGTAGATTTTCAAGTTGATGCAGGCTGCAGGCTTGTTCAGTTTTTTTCTTGGTTGACGTGTTCCCACTACACTTCCATGACGAATACCAATTTTTAGACGAATGCTTTATACTTGTTCCTCTCGTAAACCTTCTCCGTCCCCGTCGTTAGGTCAGCCTTATGCGGTACTTCCCAGTCAGGAGCTATCCATGCCCACGTGTACACCCTCCACATCTCCAACATGTCCCGCGATTCGCTGTGCACATGGTGTTCTTGACGATCTCATCTTTTGCCGGCCTGGTGCGGAGGGTTGGTAGGTAAGGTGTCGGGGTAAAGTAAAATGCCGCAAAGCTACCGCGTCGCACCAATGCAAAATACCGCAGTTTACTTCGGCGGCTGCGCCTCGCTCTAGTAGTATACATAGGAAGACTGCCCAGACGAAAAATAAATTTGTATACATTCTCGATCTTTTGTATACGATTTCGTCCTCTGCGTACTTGCTGCTAATCGTCACGCCCGAAGTGGTTAGTGCGATGGGTCCCATGAGTGCCCGAGCGCCAGAAGGGAATTCCGTCGCTTGGACTCGGAGTGGTAGAAAGGATGTCACGCACTACGACTGCAAAGATGGAACAGGTAACAATTATGATGTGGTAATCTTCTTTATTATATCTAAGGATCGTAATGCACGTTGTCGTGGTCATGTCTAAGCATTCTATATGACTAACTTTTGTGCAAGGCAGGTATCATGCTCGCGAAGAGCAAGAAAACCTCCTCGCATACTCTCAGCAGGGCCTCCTCACCCTGCAATATCTCACTTTATACAATTCCTCCATAGGTAAGGCTCTAAGCCTTCTCCTGCATGTTCTCGCTACCAGCGACAGAAGAGTCGCGGCTGTAGTAGCGACCAAAGGTACGGTCCTCGATGTCCATGTTCTTGTCGACCTTTCCATTGCCGTGCTTAGCAGCCATACGGCGGAAGTAGACGCGCTTGCACCACTTCCAGAGCTCGATACCGGCAAAGAAGATACCAGTCTCGACGAAGACGATGCCCCACTCCCAGTCGATGGGGGCGTGCTTGAACACAACCGTGTTGAGAACGGGGATGTAGATGAGTGGGAAGAGGAGGACGAAGCCGATCATAATGGCCCAGAAGAGGAACTGGTTCCTCCATACATCGAGCATCCACTGGGTGAAGTAGCGCTTGCTGCCGGGCTGCATGCGGAAGAAAGAACGACGCATGTCAATCATCTCCCAGGCGAGGAAGAGAGCGAACCATGTCAGACAGGCGAATGTGCAGGCGCGGGCACGGAAAACCAACTCGCACTGCTCGGAATATGTCTCATTGCAACCCTGACCGAGCTCTCCGTCACCGAATCCGAAGACGACGAGCACGAAACTGGCCAAACAGAGAAGCGTGATCCAGAGGCCATAGACGACCATGTCGACGAGGAACTCCATGGTGAAGATACCCGTCTTGAGGGATTGAGGTGGGCGGTTCAGGATATCAGGGACGGCGCGTTCGAAACCGAGACCCATGTCAGGCAATCCAGATGTGGCCATGATGATCCACACAACCTGTACGGGCGCAAGAGGGAAAACGGAGAGACCAGTCCTGTCTTTGAAGGCAAGACCAACGAGAAGTGTACCAGCCTGAGCGACGTTCTCGGCCAAGACGTGCAGCACGAACTTCTGAATGTTGTCGAAGATACGGCGACCTTCTTCAATGGCAGCGAGAATGGATGCGAAGTTGTCGTCTGTGAGGACGATATCGGAGGCTTCCTTGGCGACGTCGGAACCGGCTTGACCCATGGCAATACCAACGTCGGCACGCTTCAGCGAGGGAGAATCGTTGACACCGTCACCAGTCATGGCGCAGAATCGGCCGCGGCGGTGGAGAGCTTCGATCATGCGAACCTTTGTGCTAGGCGCACAACGGGCTACGACCAACGGCAGGACAGGGAGCTCATCGACTTGATCATCAGTGAGTTCATCGAATTCAGAAGCAGTCATAACCAGCGACTTGGCGATATCGGCAGAGATCCTCTTGTAGCGGTCGGCCGATGGCAGGATATGGACTTCAATGGCAATAGCCTTTGCTGTCTGCATAAAGGGTCAGTATGTTTCAAATGCTCTTTGTAGTCAAGACGTACCTCAGGATGGTCACCAGTCAACATGTGGACCTCAATACCAGCCTCGTGGCATTGGCGGACAGCGACAGCGGATTCAGGACGGGGAGGGTCGTAAAGACCGATGAGACCACGGAAGACAAGGTCGGATTCGACAGAGGTACGGGCAACTTCAGCACCCTTCTCAACTTCGCCGGGGTACTTCTTGCTGGCCAGAGCCAAGACACGGAGACCGAGACTGGCCAGAGCTTGCATGTGGGAAAGGATCTCCTCGCGGAACTCGTCAGTGATGGGTTGAGATTGCTCCTTGCCGTCAGCGAGGTAGGTGGTACAGCTCTGAATGACGCGCTCGACGGCACCCTTGGTGAAAGCGTAGTTGCCTGAGGTGTGCTTCATGATAACTGACATGCGCTTGACGTCGGAATCGAAGGGAAGCTCAACGAGATCCTCCCAGGTAGCAGAGTCGCCCTTGACGAGATGGCTGCGGTTCATGCCGAACCGGGAGGCGAAAACCTGGATAGCGATTTCGGTGGGATCACCATGAGCCTCCCAGGCGCCTTCATTGTTCTGCTTGACAGCAGCCAAGTTGGCCAAAGACGCGACCTTGAGGAACTCACCGAAGCCTTCGATGTTGTGGCCTTCAAGCTTCTCAACACCGAGACGCTCACCGCAAGCCTCGCCTCCGGACTTGAGGTCCATCTGGCTAGGTGCAGCGGAGCCAAAGCGCACGTGACCAGCAGTGGGGTCCTGGGGAGCGGTGGAATCCTCGATAGTGTAGGTTCCAACACCTGGGATCCAAGCACCACGGGCAATCATTTTACCCTGCGTAAGCGTTCCGGTCTTGTCAGAGCAGATGTCGGTAACACCACCGAGAGCCTCGAGGGACTTCAGGTTTCGGACGATAACATTGCGCTTAACCATGGACTTGGTACCAGCGGCCATAGTAATCGTGAGCACAACGACCAAACTAGCGGGAATCATGGACAGGCCGGTGGCGACAGCGTAAATGATGACTTCCTGGCGAGAACTGAACTCGTTGGCTGCAAGGACGATGATGGCACACACGACGGCAATGAAGAAGAGCAACACGGCTAGCTTGGAAAGCTTCTTCTGGAGAGGCGTTCCGACGTTGAGACCCAAAAAGCGACCAATAGCGTCGGTAGTGGTGAGTGTGTAAGCCTCGAGGTAACGGTGAGGCTTTGCCTTTCCGTTCTCCTTTCGCTTGACAGGTCGGACCTTGGACTTGGTCTCGCGGAGCTGAGCAGCGATAGCACCAATTTCGGTGTAGGCACCGGTTGCGAAGACAATTCCCTTGGCTCGGCCCTTGGTGACCGAGGAAGAGCTGTAGGCAACGTTGAGACGATCTCCGGGACCAGTCTTCTCTTCGAAAGTGGCGTCCTCTTGCTTGCGAACAGGCAGAGACTCTCCGGTAAGCAGAGCCTCGTCGGTCTCGAAGTTGACGGCGTCAAAGACACGCATATCGGCAGGGATGGTGTCTCCAACCTTGACCTCAATGACATCTCCAGGCACAACGTCAGCGGAAGGGATGGTAACTTGCTGGCCACCGCGGATGAGACGGGCAGTAGGCGAACTGAGGGAGCGTAGGGAATCCATGGTCTTCTCAGCGGACCATTCCTGGAAGAAACCGACGACGATGTTGAGACCGATAACGAAGGCGACAACACCACCTTCGATCCAGGACTTGATACCGAAACTGACAGCCATGGCCATGATGAGGACTAGCGTCATAGCGTTGGCGACCTGCGCGATGAGAATCTTGACTGGGGAGACGCTCTCAGCTTCTCCAAGTTCGTTGGCGCCATAGTCGTCGACACGACGCTTGGCTTCGGAGTCATCAAGACCATGCCATTCATCGGTCTTCAGCTCGGTCTTGACTTGCTCCAGCGTAAGGCTGTGAGCGGGTGCGGACATTGGCTTGTTGCATTGTCCACTGACGTGACCCTCAAGGGTCGTTTCTTTCTTCCCCATGATTGTGGGTGTTTAGGGAATCAAAAGAGTTGGTTGTTGGATGTTCGGTGTTGGGGTTGTAAAATTGGGTTGATATGATACGGATATCGGCAAGTCAAGACAGCAATCAGCGCTCTAGTCTTCTGCGTGCTCTGGCCCCGCGGACTATAGCCACGTGGACAAATTTGTTGGATTGGGTGTTGAGTTTGGTATGCATAGAGGACCTCAGGAGGGGGCGGGGGTCAGACTCCTCCAGAATTACGCCGTGATTGGCGAGTTGTGGGGTTTGTGAGGGTGAGTTTGAAATTGGAAGTGACGAGGGAAGGAGTTGGCAAGTTTGGAGCAAACGTCAAACGAGAAGGAGGTGGTACCGACAACAGGTGGTGAGGAAGAGAAGGAAAGGTCTCAGGCGTCGTGAAGATATATGTTGAGTGGTGGGGATGTCGGTGTAGGAAGTCGGCTCTCCAAGAGACATGCCAAGCTCGACAGTTCCCGCCAAGTACACTATGTCGCGATTCTGGAGGCGAATGCCAGGCTAGCGACCAAAAAACTTCTCCACCCTTGGCAGTGAAGACAGCCATTGAGTGCTCGTCACGTTACCGGGGTCCGCAGGGAAATCGGGTATGCGGCATTCCTGGCCTTGGCCTTTGCCTTGGCAGGCATCAGGATCTTCTTGAACCTGCCTCTTCGACTCGTCACCTGCAGAACTTTCCGTTTCAACACCGCGGTGGAGCAGACGATAGGCGTTTCGCAGACTCAAGCCTTGCCTAAGCCTTGTCTTGACGCGTTGTGAATGGTCGCATGCGGAGCATCGTGCAGCCTGGCGGAGTCGAGATCCAGCGGAGATTCCCCGGTGCACGGACCTCGTGGTGAAGAAAAGTGTGGAGCGACATGCCGGAGCCGCGTGTATGGAGATACACTGCGAACTGGGCGAAATACTGGGCGAGATGTCTGTATGGGCCCTGCACGTGGGCTTGGCCGTTGAGGTGATTGATAGCGCCGTGGCTCGAAAGAGTTCTACGCCGTGATGGCCGCGGCTCTGACATGACGTCGTCATGGCACGCCAGGGTCCGCCGCTTGTCTTCTCGAGCCCAGCCTTCTCACGGGCTTAGCTATTGCTTGCTGCTCCCCCAGCCTTCCAATCCAGACACCGTGTCACCCTGTCTGTGTAGCATGTCGTCCTCAAATCCCGACGCCGCGCCGTTCTTGCAGTATCACGAGCCCGAAAGTAAGCGCTCCTTGTCACAATCGTTCAGCACCTGCATACCCCGAAACGTCGATCTAGACTAACGCAAGCTTAAGTCGTCGAGATTCTTATCCTGGTATCTTTCTTCACCTTCTTATGGCTCTCGGAGTACGTTTCGGCCAAGGTTATCCGTGCCGGCATCATTGGTCCGATTGCGGTTGGTATCATATATGGCGAGCCGTTGGCGAATATCCTCGAACATGATTGGGCTGGTACGCGTCCCTGCTGCAGAAAAGGCGCTATGTGCGACATTTACTGACTCTGCGCCCCGGTGTTTAGAGACGTTTCTATATCTTGGCTACATTGGCTTGATCTTGATTATCTTCGAGGGCGGTTTGAGCACTCGCCTTGACCTGCTCAAGGCCAACTTCACGCTGTCGATCTGTGGGGCTGCCACAGGCGTACTGTGTCCAATAGGTTTCAGCTACCTGTTGCTGTATCTTGGGTTCGGCTATGGCGCTGTCGAGACCTTCATCATCGGCGCTGCTCTGAGCACGACAAGTCTGGGCACCACCTTTGCCGTTATCTCAAGCGCCTCCAAGGATGTCGATCTCAGCCAAACCAAGGTCGGCGCGGTGCTTGTCAGCGCTGCAGTCATTGACGATGTGACAGGTCTTGTCATGTCAAGTGTCATCCACGACCTGGGTGATGTCGCGTCCGGTGGAAACGTCAACTTGGGATGGCTGATCGGCCGGCCTATTCTCGCATCTGCGGCCATGGCAATTCTTACCCCAGTTCTCACCAAATGGGTCTTTGCGCCTCTGTTTCGAAGATACGTTGAGAGGCATTTTCACAAATTTGACCACTTGTCAAACATTATGCTGATGATCCTGGTATTATCAGCCTTTATCTCAATTGCAGCCTTCGCAGGGACCTCCATCCTGTTTGGAGCTTTCCTCGCCGGCGCCTTCTTGACGTATCTCCCTTCTACACACCCGGAAGGTCCCTTCGTGGTTATGAGCCGCGAAGAAGGCGAGCGCTCCAAAGACAAGTCTCCGACCTTTGTGCATACCTTTGAGGTATACTGTTTGGACGCGCAGCAGTATGTACTTGGACCTCTTTTCTTTGCTAGCATAGGATTCGCGATTCCGTTCTTGGATCTTTGGACTGGAGAAGCCATCTGGAAAGGCGTCGTATACACCTTACTCATGCTGGTGGGTAAGGCTCTCGTCGGTGTTTGGATCCCCATCTGGGGTGCCGCAAAGCATGATCCCAAGAAAGCACAAGAAGCACAAAATGAAGCATCCGCGGCCGAGAATGGCAACAACCTCGAGAAGGTGAGCTCGTCGCCTTACTCACCTACCCGAAAAGCCGCGGTACAATCCGCCGTCTCGCCCATGCTTTTGCTGGGCATGGCCATGGTCGCCCGTGGAGAAATCGGTCTACTAATTGTGGAAATCGGTTACAACAACACGCCGTATGTCTCTGCGGAGGGTTTCATAACAGCCATATGGGCTATTTTGCTGAACACAATCATTGGGCCCGTGTGTGTTGGCTTGGCCGTCAAGTACAGAGGTGCTAAGATCGGCAAAGGACCTTGGGGCTTGGTACCAGGCCCAAACCAGGCTATCGAAGATGAGATGAACAGGAGGAGAGAGTCGCGTATGAATGACCAAATGCAAGAGGAGGGAGAAGCGAGAATGGAGGCGCATCGTAATAGTCGCATGGGTTGATTCACGAGTTGCACTCGAGATGAGGATTTGCAAGACAAGCAAAAGTAGATTTATCGCGTCGACGCATGTTGTATAATGTTTATGTAATAAGTACCGTACAGTAATACTTCAATGATATCTTGCTACTGCGAGTTTACCAAACACGTTTTCTCAGCCACAATCATGTGAATTGAAGATAGCCTATCAATACATCGCTGAAGATAGCGATTGCTGTGCGACAATGATCCCGTGAGCCCGCATATCCAAATTCAACGCGGAAGAAAGACCCCGCCCACCTCCAAAGGGAATTCCACATCAACCTGAAGTTCTAACTCAAGGCCTCCTCATCTGTTCCTATCCATCAGAATACCAAAGCGTACCTTACGTCGAACACACAAATCTCGCACCTCAACCAACCAGCAAAAAATGCAAATACTCCTGCTGCGAATCCTTTACCTGGTCTTCATGGCCACCCAGTTCTACGCATTAGCCTTCCACTTCAAATCTCCACCCTCTGGACTCGTGTATCCGTATTCCATCCACCTACTCGCGCTCGTCTCATGTATAGCGGGTACACTATCAGCAGTACCGCTCCTTTTTGCCGCATCATCCCCAATCTCTACCCCAACTACCACAACAATCTTGGGGACAACAATGGCATCCACCTTCCTCCTCAGCAGCATACTGTTATTCACATGGATGGCGCTAACAACGCGGCCTGGTACATTCGCCGTAATCTACGGTCGTGTAACACCACAACACGTCGTTGACACGGGTCCGTATAACTACATCCGGCATCCGACGTATGTGGCTTATGCGTTGGGGTGGGTGGGCGCTGTGGTGTATGTTTTGGTCGCGTGGCTGCCGGACTACTTGTTGCATGGACATGATGTTAGTGGCGCGTGGATATCCATGCCGGTCAGGAGTGTGGGGCTAGTGGGAGCGGTTCTGGTGCTTTTGTGGTTGTATAGAATTGGAGCGGTGTTGGAGGAAGAGCAGTTTTTGGGGTATGAGGGGACTGTTGGTGGGGAGAAGACGGAGGAGGAGGTTAGAGGGGAATATTTGGCTTATGTGAGGAGGGTGAGGTGGAGGTGGATTCCAGGGTTTGTGTGATTTAGTCTAGAGAGGACGGGATGGGTGAGTGTTGTTGGGGTGAGAGATGTCGTCTTGTTGGCATGTCATGCGTTTCCTAACATCTTGGGCAGCCACGCAGCACGAATCTCCGGGACATCCCAATGGAACAAGTGACATGGTATATAAGAACATACTTGCGGGAAACAAAAATTAATGATTGAACTAGCGGATGCTGTACGTCGGCGTAAATTCGCCTGCACCTTTGCAATTTAATACACAAGACTGTGCTCTCAAAAGAGACAAAACAGAAGAAGTCACCCCATCATGGAGTCGATTAGAAGCTAGGGGCGTTGAGCGCCATGACGCACAGAAGACCGGAGACGAGACCGGCGGCGGGTAGGGTCATGACCTGAGACCGTTAGAGATCAAGAACCAAAGCATTCGGGATACAACTTACCCAACCCATGAAGATGAAAGCGAGTTGGCGCCAGTTGACGGCACCAAGATCGTAGTTCATCAAAGCCACACCAACCGCTGAACCAGTCAGACACTGAGTGGTCGATACTGGGAGACCAAGTCGAGAAGCCAGCAAGACGGTAACAGCAGCGCCGAGTTCGACAGAGAAACCGCGGGTAGGTGACATCTGAGTAATCTTATTACCAAGGGCACGAACGATGTGATATCCGTAGAACCTATTGTTCTGTTAGTATATGTTTCACATGTTGTTTGTACAAGGTCTTTACTTACCAGAAACCAAGACCGAGTAGGAGACCGGCTACGACCAAGAACCAAACGGGAGTAGGCGAGCGAGTAGCTACCTCTCCAGCAAGGTATGTCTGATAGACAGCGGCCCAGGGTCCGACAGCATTGGCTACATCGTTGGAGCCGTGAGCGATGGACATCATCATAGCTGATACAACCTGGCAGTACGTCCACAGATGCTCGACACGAACGTCGTAACGGATAGCCTTGGAGTGGATGGCGCGCAGAAGATCGTTGTCGTGTGTGATAACGTCGCAGGTGACACCCCTGAGGAAACCGAACTTGGC